TTGTTTTTTTGTTTTTAAACTTATCGTCTTTTTTTCTCTTTTTCTTTTTTTTTTTTTTTTACCCTTTTCTCTTAATCCCATTGCAAAGATAGATGGGAGTTAACAACTCTGATTGAAATTATGCACATTTTCAAATGCTTTCTTTATACTTTTTAGCCTTCTATAATATAAGTAACATTGTGCTGCTATTGTATGAACAAATCCAGGAAAAAGAAACACCTTACTGTCCTAGACTGATCTTAGTTTCAGAAAACTCTACCCTCAGATAGTGGTTATACATAATACCCACTGTGTCTGATCACCAGAGTACTATTTTCTAAAGAAAAGTCCAGAGAATTTTCTGAAGGCATAACTTAATCATCAAATTACCAGATTTTTAAAAGCTATTACATGTTTCTATCTCTGTTCATTGATTCTGCCTGAGTCATCATCCTTGCAAAAGAATATGAAATTTTCCCCATTGGAAACTAGTAGCATACATATAGAAGGCTTAACTTGTAAAGTTCTCTGCACATGGGGCTCTTGAGCTGTTATATCCTGTAGAAACCCTGGCCATTCAGATATTTGTGATTCTTATTGCTTATCATGTACTTCACTAATGTTCCTTCTCTACAGAGAATGACAACATGCTCTGCTATGTTCATATGAACTTTTATGTTTATTAAATACATATTACAGTATTTGCATTCAAATTGGTACCTTCAATTATAATCTCTAAACAAGATTTCTTGGTGCATTTCATCGGAAGAGATGCAAAGAAAGAGATACAGGATATAGGATTTATCGATGGCCTAACTCACAGGGACTTATACAATATATTCCTGACCTCTCTGGTGGAGTCTAATGGAAATGGCTTCACAGACAAGCAGGACTGGGTTCCAGTCTTGTTTCTGTGACATACATACTGCCTGAATTTAGGCAAGTTCCTTGACTCTTCACATGGTCATTGAGAAAATGAAATAACAAATCGGTATCAGTAAGGCACGTAGGACAGGTAGCCTTTTGATGGATATTGCTTTTCTTTTTCCCAGACTACCCTGTTGCCATCTTCACACTTTTACCTAAGTGCAGAGTTTTTGTGTGTTGTTTTATAGGGCATTTTAATCATTTTTGTTAATTGAGCAGGTTTTTTAAAAATAGGAAGCATTATGTTTGAGTGCTCAAGCAGCTTTAGTATATGAACAAATCAGACTCAATATAGCCAGGCTAGAGAGATGACCTGCATGTATGGGGTGAGAGTGGAGTGTCACCGGAGGCTGATATCAGAGCCACCTCAGTGCTGAACATGATTTCAACTCTTCCACTTGACATGATTTGTTCTCCTTTTTTAAGAGGAAAAAATGCTCTAGCTTGCTATACCTTGTGTTTGCCAACCGTCTAGTGGGCTAGAAAAGTGGGGGACGAGGGAGCCAAAGGTAATGGCTAATTAGAAAATTTACTTGAAATGTCTCGAATGCTTCAAGAAATAAAATTAACTGACTTTATAACCATACCAAATTGATGATAATTATATTGGGCTTCCTGTGATTCCAGTGAATGTGGGTTTTAGCAAAATATACACACCCTGTTGTCAATTTATCCTTGCATTATTATGGAAGAAAATCTTGTAGTGTTCAATTGATTGTATAGTCATACCACTTAAATTTGTAGTTTCAGTGTAATCTTGCCTTCTCCTGTTTACAACTCTCTGAAAATAGATTGAGTGTGGATCCAGTACGTAAGTGAGATTGTCTTTGCTAAAAGCTTCTTGAAATCACAGGAAAAGGGGAAAAAATGTTGTTACAGCTGATCATTGCCAGAGGGTGAAAGTTCAAGAAGTAGAGAAAAAGAAAATCGTAGCATGTAATCAGAGTTCTCGGTTGTATGCCACAGAATCCATTCTATGTAGTTTAATCCGGAAACAAACAGGGATGAAACTTGAAAAATGCCCAGCCACAACACTAGACTGTCCTGGTAGAAGCACTACTGCTGTTACCCACATATTGTCACTAAGGACATTAAAGTCTAGGGAACAGAAACTCTGGCACGACTCCTCAAAAGAACCAGATACACTCCCCCCGAGCTTTCTCCCAAGGAGCCATTCTTTCATGCAGCTAATAGTTTATGTTGTTTGCATTCACCTTCAGTGTTCACACATTCGGGTTGGCTTGGTGGCTTCACATTGCGGGCTAGCTCCAGGGGAACCTGGGAAATATAGTTTTAGCTCTTTGTCTTCTATAGTGTAGCAATCAAAGTAAGCTAGAAGGGTGTTGGAATAGATGCTGGTTGAACTGCTTGTTAGTATCTTCTCCTGATGGAGTTGAACTGAAAGGTGTTAGAGGTATTGCAGTTACCTGTATGTTTGAATATTGTGAATTGTTTTGATAATGCAAACACACCCATATAGAACTGAAACTTACTAAGTCAGCAATTGGTCAGGGCAAGAGCTGCCTGCTTGGTTTTGCTCTCTCCTTACCTTAGATACTAGAGCTTTGACTAAAATAGGCAGGTAAGACTTACCTGGTCTAGAAATTCCTGTGTAGTTTTACCTTTCATAAAGCATTTTAAAATTCAGAAATTTGTGAAAGCAGTGAAAGTATTCGTTAGGAATGAGCGAACCTGTCCTTTGGAATGAGTACAATATTCATTGTACTAAATATTAACTATAATTATACAAAACAGACTTCAGTGGGCATACCATGATTTCAGGTAACAAAGTCTAGTTTCACTTCATGAAAGAATGGCTAAGGGAGCTGGGCATGGTGGCTCAGGCCTCTAATCCCAGCACTTTGGGAGGCCAAGGCCGGAAAATGTGTGAGGCCAGGAGTTCAAGACCAGCCTGGGCAACATAGTGAGACCCTATCTCTACTAAAAATAAAATATTAGGAAGGCATGGTGGCACACACTTGTAATCCTAGCTACTTGGGAATCTGAGACAGGAGGATCACTTGAATCTAGGAATTCAAGACGGCAGTAAGCTATGATCATGTCACTGCGGTACAGCCTGAGCAACATAATGAGACCTTGTCTTTGGGGGGGAATAATAGAATGGCTTAAGAAATATTTCTATTTCCATTTTTCTCTCTTCTAGATTCAACTTTGTCTAAATTCTGTAAGTCTGTTTCTAAACCTTGGCTATTTTTACTCCTCAGTGGTCCGTGTTGGAATGTCAATTTCTATTTTCAGAAGTTCTATTACTATATGTAAAACAACAACAAAAACCATTGCTCTTTTCTTCTGCACTTGATCAAAATTCTCTTTGAGGTATCCACATTTTACCTTAATATGTATTCAACTGTGCAGAATGCAAGTGACCAGCTTTACTTGTTAACCCAGGCATGGCTGTAGTCCTCAGAGCCTTTTAATTAGAGTCCATTCTTAGGATGAGGTGCTGCATTTTCTGCGATGGCACCCACTGGCATACAAAAGAAAAACTGAATTCTCCCGGTTGAGCAGTAACATGGATGCCATACTAAATTCTGAATAGACACACTCATGCATCTTCTTGTCCACCAACTACAGGAACGCAGGAGTTTTACTGCTTTATCCTTTTATGCCCAACACCCATCAGCTCCAGAGGCAGCTTGGCTGCATGCCAGTGTCAGTGGAAAATTAGCATTCTATCCTCACAGGCTCATATCCTTTGTCAAGTCACCAAACCTTCAGGAAAATTGATGAGTCATCTACCTAGATGTTTTTATTCATTTACAAGACTAACTTGTACAGAGTTTTCATTTTTCTTAAGGTTTTAGAAATATAGATAAATTATTAATGAAGGATTTAGAATTCACTAAGAATAAAAGCTATAAAAGGTAGTGATTTGAAAGATATGTGTAGTGCCAGAAGGTGTTTAATGGTTAACTGTTCTTAGAGGAAGCCAAAGGAAGTAGTAGGTAGGGAATTTGCCAAAAAATAACATAGCTGGTTAATATCAATGCTGAGATTGAAACTCAGGTCCCCTGCCTGCCGGATGGGGAATGTGTCAAAGGTGCTTGTTACCAAAGCATAGGTCCTAAGTCTTCATCATCCTATGTGAAGCATGTACATGATGCCACGTGCTAGCTGAGGCCATGCTCTGAAGGATATCTCCATGAAACAGCTATGAAAAATTATATAATATGGGCTACATTCCCAACCCACATCTTCTCAAATTCACTAGAAGCTGTCCATTTTGTTGACAAAACTGAATTTGAAGTATATGCAACAAATGACTTCAACATTATTTTCATGGCTAAAAGTACTTTAAGAGCACTCTTCCTAGGCCAGGTGCAGTGGCTCATGCCTATAATCCCAGCACTTTGGGAGGCCGAGGCAGCAGATCACCTGAGGTTGGGAGTTAGAGACCAGCCTGACCAACATGGTGAAACCCTGTCCCTACTGAAAATGCAAAACTTAGTTGGGCATGGTCGTGGGATGTGGAGACAGGAGAATTGCTTGAACCTGGGAGGCACAGGTTGCAGTGAGCCGAGATTGTGCCACTGCACTCCAGCCTGGGTGACAGAGTGAGACTACCTCTCAAAAAAAAAAAAAAAAGCACTCTTCCTGTTCTTAATGACTAGCTTTCCATTAGCTGCCACCAGCCATATTTGTTGCTTACACTATACGCATGTTTCTGTTTAGTTTGCTCTACTCCTTTGCCCTCTTAAGGGAAAAGCAAGGGAGGTTTATGAAGGACCTTAAAATGAGATAAACTAATTAATTTTTGACTTTGTATATTTTTCAGCAAAGGAAAACATTTCTCCACTCTCATAACACTTCTGATACTAAATGTGTGGATTTTCCACACGTTACCATTCTCATACCAACTAGGTGTCCTATAATCTAATTCTATTCTGCAGTTAGCACAGACCCCACAGTTTAAGGAATCAGTCCCACAGAATGCTCCACTTCAGATGCTAATTATAAGCCTGGGCTTCCTATACTTCTGACAGGCTGTAAATAAGAGGTTTCTCATGATTCCTTCCTTGGGTTCAATAATTTTCTAGAATGGCTCACAGGACTCAGGAAGGCACTTGACTTACCATTGTCAGTTTATTATAAAGGACACAACTCAGGAGCAGCCAGATGAAAAGAATGAGGTATGTGGGAAGGACCGTGGGGAATCCATGTTCTCTCTGGGCCTGCCACCCTCCCCACACCTCCATGTGTTCACCAACCCAGCAGCTCTCGGGACCCCTTTGAGTTTTTTGTGGGGTTTCATTCCATAGGTGTGATTGATGACATGGGCCGTTGGTGACTGGACTCTGGACTCATCTCCAGCCCTTCTTCCCATCCTGGAGGTGGGAGAGTGGAGCTGAAAATTCCAACCTTTAAATCACATGGTTGGTTCGTCCGGCAAGGGGCTCCCATCCTTGAGTCACCTTATTAACCTAAACTCAGGTATGGTTGAAAGGGGCTTATTGTGAGTAACAGAAGATGCTCTTCTCACCCCTATCACTTGGAGAATTCCAAGGGTTTTAGAAGCTCTTGTGTCATGAACTAAAAGATGATCCGGTCACCCCTATCACTTAGGAATTTACATGAGTTTTACATGTTTTGCGTCAGGAACAAGGGCAGAGGCCAAGTGTATATTTTGTATTAAGTCACAATCAATAAGTACTTTATAAAAAAGTAAATTTATATATAAGTAAACATAACTGCACATTTCTTGCTTTCACAAATTTTGTTGTCAGTATGGAATGATCTCTCACCAGTTATCAAAATCCAGAGTTGAGTTCTTACGTAGGGAAAAATGGGAAGTAGAGGTTAAAACATGTATATTAACAGTGGTGTAGACTCTGGACAACCATCCACGTTTGACTTCCTCCATTTCTGACCTGTGAGGTCTCAGGCAAGCTACTTGACTTCTCTATACCTTAGCATTTCATCTATAAATTCAGTATGTCACAGGGATGTAACATTGTTGAGAGATTGAGATGGTCCATGTCAAGTGCCTGCCATGACACCTCCTCAGATCTGGTTCTCAATAACAGTATTAAACATTTGGTCTGGGCACAGTGGCTCATGCCTATAATACCAGAACTTTGGGAGGCCAAGGCCAGAGGATCACTTAGGTCAGGAGTTCAAGCCAGCCCAGGAAACATAGGGAGATCCTATCTTTAAAAAAAAAAAAAAATTCTAGCTCCTGTTCCCATGTTTTCATTCATTTAAACGAATCATGGCAAAAAAAATTTTTAAGTAAAAAATGTTTTAAAAATTATTGCAATTTTTTGTAAGTTAAAAAAAAAAAAAAAAAAGCCAGGCATGTTGGCTCACATCTGTAGTCCCAGTTTCCCAGGAGGGTCATGCGGGAGGATCACTTGAGCCTAGAAATTCAAGGCCAGCCTGGGCAACATAGTGAGACCCTATCTTTCAAAAAGGTTTTCCTTATTCTAGTAGAATTATGAACGTTTTCTTATTCAGAATAAAATTTAGGAAGCAACCAGAAAATATATATAAATATTGTCATACCAGGCCCCTGTTGATTTCAACAGGGATAGCTCAGGAAGAGACCCAGAGCCAGTGAATGAGACATGAGGTTTATAGAGGACTTACATACAGAGCATTCCAGGAGTGGAAGGCTGGACAGGAAAACCACTAGCATTTGTAAAAAGCATGCAGATTATATAGCATTTTCTCTTAGTAGTCTTCACCAAGCAACCTCCCTTTAACCCAAAACAAAAGGCCCCTGATCTCTGTATAGTCTGCATTCCAAATGACGGGCGAGGGGTTCAGATGTTCTTCATAGATAAGGAGTGAATCTCCAGCTTGACCACTCCTGGATTTTCTCAGGGTATGCTTGAGTTATTGCTGTCAGGTTCGTCTGCCATACAGACTCACAGCATGATTTTCCTCTAAAAAGCTTGATGATGCGTTTTGGTAAACATTGTGAAGTTTTAAGTGGACTTCAATTCGTTTTTAAAAAATAAACATACATGAATAAATATAATACTTTCCACATAGCTTTAAAGCACTTATATATCCCTGATTTAAAAAATTAAAAGGTCAGGTATGGTGGCTTATACCTGGCCTGAAATCCCAATGCTTTGGGAGGCTGAGTGGGGAAGATCGTTTGAGGCTAAGAGTTCAGGACTAGTCTGAGCAACGTAACAAGACCATGTCTCTTAAAAAAAAAATTAGCTGAGTATGATGACACATGCACATGCCTGTAGTCCCAGCTACTTAGGAAGCTAAACTAGGAGGATCACTTGAGCCCAGGAGTTCGAGGCTACAGTGAGCTATGATTGTACCACCGCACTCTAGCCTGAGCAACAGAGTGAGACCCTGTCTCTTAAAATAATCAACCAAGCAAACCAGAAAACAGTTAATAATCTAGGGCTTTACCTACCTGGTAGGACATAAGGAAGCATAATAGAGAAAGTTCCTGGAACTGCCGTTCCTCTGCTTCTGTGTGGGCAAACTCTCTATGACTTATATAACCTTCCTCACTTGCTTGAGACAAGGGAGCTGCTGGGAGTTCTTGTCAGAGGTTTTGCAGAAATTGCCCACAGCTGAGAGTTTCTGATTTAGAGTCATTGTTCCAGTGAATGGAAATGAGCTGAAGGAACAGTGGTGACACTCACTTTCAGCTAAGAAAGGAGACCTGCCCTGGGCACAGCGGAAAAGCCCAGCCTTGAGCGTTACCCAGCTCCTTTGACCGTTTCTCTCCAGAGCCACGTCTGTCTTTCCCTCCCTTCTTCTGCAACACACAAAACCTAAAAGTTATCCATCTTTCTTCTTTGCAGATGGAAGTCCATATAAACACTTCCATTTCATACATACTCAAATTCCAAGTGATCTTGAAGGACCACTTAAAGTTGAAGTTGAAGTGGCAGAGAGAATGCCGTGCTGATGACAGTTGGATAATTATATAACTAATTTCTGGCAACATTATAATATGATGCCAGGATGTCTTTTTTTTTTCTTTTGTATGAAGAAAATATAGTGTTGAGATTTAAAAATAAGTATTAAGGAAATGGAGTTTTCAGAGAAAAACTCTTCTAACCTCCTTTTAAAAAAAAAAAAATTCATGAGACGTTGTCAGGGTTGTCAACATCATGCTTTATGGCTTTTGAAACCTGGGCTTTAACACAAAATTTCTTTTAACATACTGGGGATTATTGTACTTTTTGGATAATGTTGAGGTCTTATTCAAAATTCTTACGATCGTAGAAACAGATAATATGCTATCATTATCTGTGACAGGATAGGAAGAGGATGGGAAGGATAATTAAAATGCTGGGATTGGCTCTTTCAAATTGTGTTCTCTGAATCTTAGCACAGATATAAAATATTGGAATTTAAACTCTTAAGATATATTTTTAAAGTTTCCAACCAGGTGTCATGACTCAGGCGTGTAATCTCAGCACTTTGGGAGGCCAAGGTGGGAAGATCAGTTGAGTCCAAGAGTTTGAGACCAGCCTGGGCAACATAGAACTCGGATTTACAAAAGATAAAAGATGATGTGGGAAGATCACTTGAGCCCAGGAGATCGAGGCTGTGATGAGCCATGCTCATGCCACTGCACTCCCGCCTGGGTGACAGAGTGAGACCCTGACTCAAAAATTTATCAAAAACAAAAGGAGAGTTTCTATTAGAATAAATCATTCAGTGCCTCAAACTTTCATTTTAATGCCTTAATTCAACTTTAATGGCTGTTTGTAGACTAAAGTTAATATCTGCAGAAAGTCGTCACTTAAAATAACTTACTATTTATAGAAAAAATATTATAAGGCACTTTTCATTCATTGAAGGTGATGGTTTACTCTGAAATTTGCACAGTGAGGATTGGAATTTTTGTTTTTGTTTATTTAAAACATTTAATTTGTTCTAGGGATGGTTTTAAATGCCTTATAGGTGATTACTCATTCAATTATGATAACCTATGAGAGAGGTATTATTATTATTATTATTTTTTACTTTACAGTAAAGGAAACAGTTCAGGAACTCAGAGAGGTTAAATAACTTGTCAAGTTGCACAACTAGTAAGTGGGTAGAGCCGGGACTTAATTCCAGGCTGTCTGGCCCGCAGAGTTTCCGCTTATGCCCCCATGCACTGGTGCCTCCTGCAGCACGTCAAAGAGTTTACCAAGACGAATGAGCTCAGATATTTGACTATCTAACCAGCCGTCTGTCTGCCCTTCTGGCCCTTCTAAGATGTCAATGTTTCTTATAAAATGGACATAAATACCTGATGAGACAAGATTTGTATGGAGAGCCATGGGACTATCACCCCTATTCTAGATGCATACTAAAGCAACAGAAGAAGGCCACGTTCTCATTATGTGCGAGCATAATGAGAGCAGCAGCATAGCTGCTCTTTTTTACAAGCAGCTATGAAGCCATAATCCTATGCACATTCAACCCATCTTCCTATGAGATTAGACCATCAATCGTGGTCTCAGCAAAAATATTTAACACATCCAAATGAGAAGAAAAAAATCAGAAAAGTTTTAACGGGCTGGACACGGTAGCTCATGCCTGTAATCCCAGTACTTTGGGAGGCTGAAGTGGGTGGATCACTTGAGGTTAGGAGTTTGAGACCAGCCTGGCCAACGTGGCGAAAACTTGTCTCTATTAAAAATACAAAAATTAGCTGGGCATGGTGGTGTGCACCTTTGATCCCAGCTACTCAAGAGGCTGAGGCAGGCGAGTCGCTTGAACTCAGGAGGTGGAGGTTGCAGTGACCGAGATTGTGCCACTGCACTCTAGCCTGGGGGACAGAGCAAGACTCTGTCTCTAAAATAATAATAAGAAAATAAGAAAATAAAAGGTTTAACAAAGGGACTCTCTGGAGGAGGACAATTATGTAGAGGGACTGTGACATCCAGTTGAAGACAGACCTCCAATGGAGAGGGCTGAGGGAATTAAGTACCCAGAGTGCACCCTTCTCTTTTCCTACACTCTCCTGATGGGACTCCTTATTGGCCTACTGGATACCAGAGGGTGAGGGACACCATTGATGAAGTCCATAAAGGTCAGCCTCCAGTTGCAGAGCAGGGTGAAAAATGGGAATTGAACTGAGTGGACCAAAGAAAGATATTTGACAAATGTATCTTGCCTTTTTTGGCACATTACTCGAGCCCGTTAAGGTCTTCTTGATTTCTGGTTCCATCATTCAACACAGTGGTCCTCAAATCTAGTAGCCGCATCTCAGAATATCCTGGAAAGATCTTGAGAGTACTGAT